CTCCTCGGGAGGAAGCGGAAGAGGCGGAAGCAGGCTCCGAGGATAGTTGTGACGAGCTCGAGGCGCGTCAGCCAGGCCAGGGTTCCGGGTGGGGAACGTCACCAGACCCAGACCCCAAGGAATAAGAAAAGAGGTTCATTTACAAGCTCCATGTCAACGCGGGCCACCCTGACTCTACGAAGTTTTGCAGAGTTTTCCGGGCCCTGCGGAGGCACACCTCATCTTGTGCGCTGGGCTGGGAACAAGTTCAAGTGTTCCGAGTGTGAGGAGAAACGTCGCGCTGGCAACCGTGGGCGAGTGGCGCTGCCCCGAACGTTTCGACTCAACCACATTGTCGGAAGAGATCTCTTCTATCTCGACAATGCGGGGGCTACCCATCCTTTCGTCAACATTGTTGACCACGGCTCCAAATTCCAAGTGTGCATCAGGATCGCCCATGCTCGCGCTGCGACAGTCTGGAGCTCGTTTGTCACGTGCTGGATGAGAACCCTTCGGGGCGCCCGACTTCCTGGTGTCAGATGGCGGCCCGGAGTTCAGCGAGCGCTTTGGTCGAGGCGCCGAGCAGTGGGGCATCATGCGCCATGTGTGTGATGCCGATAGTCCCGGGCAGAATGGCCGCGTCGATGGTGCGCGGTGGATGGGTCAAAGAAAAAGTCAATGGCCGAGCTGGGCGCAGGAGCTGCCATCCCGAGCTGCCAGGGGTGGTTTCAGTCCCCTTTGGTGTTCGGACAGAACCCGAGACCCCCTCGCGATTTTCTATCTGACGACGCCCGGGGGGCCCCAGGTTGGCAGGACATGGTTCGCCCGCCTTTTGAACGCGATTCGGCCAGTGCGGAGTTTGCCGGGGCCCAGGAGGTGCGTGCCGCTGCCGGGAGGTTGGCCCTCGTGGTCAATGCCCGCGAGTAATTTGCCGTGCCTCGCGCGCCCGGGCTCCGGGACTGAAGGAGTTTTCGCCCGGCCAGTGGGTTTTCGTTTGGCGTCGTCTGAGTCGCGCCTCCTCCAGGGCAGACGCCCTTGGACGGAGACGCGACGGATGGGCCAGTCCCGGGTTGGTCGTTGTGTGAGCAAGGTATTGTGTGGGTTGCTGTGGGGGCCCGTTTGTGGAAGTGCTCGGTCAAACAGGTCGGACTTGCCAGCCCGGAAGAACAATGCGGTCTTCAGCTTTCTCAGGGCCCTCAGTGACAGGAGCTACTGCGACAGGACCACGCTCGTATAGCTTCTGCAGTGGACATTCAGCGCGAGGGTTTGCCGCCTGATGAGGCGTGGGGCGAACCATCGAGAGTCGAGGCGGACTCGGCCCCGAGGCTCCCCGGCCCCAGTCAGGGTCCGCGGGGGCCAGCGGAGGTCGGGGGCGCTCCTCTTCCCCCCTCTCCTTCGGTGGTGGGGCCGGCGGAAGGAGCCGCCAGGCTGACCGGGCTTCCTCCCTCTCCTCCCCCCTACTCGAACGCGGGATCCCTCGGAGAGGGCGAGGCTTCCTTCCATCGCGGAGGACCTCGACGGCACATCCATGCAGTCACCAGAGCAGACCCCTCCTGGGGCGTCCAGGCAAGTCATCCCAGAGCGAGACGAAGAGGGTCGGTCTGGCCAGGTTCTCCCGGGGCACACCACCTCTCCTCCTCTTCCCCCTTCAGTTCCTGGCCCGTCTCCCTGTCGAGGTCGCCCAGAGCGGCCAGGAGATGCCCCGGGATGCATCCAGGGGGCCCGCCTCGAAGCCCTCGCTCCTCAGACCGAGGCTCGGTCTGCCTCGAGCCCGCCAGAAGTCAAGAGAGTTCGGGCGGGAATGTCCGCGCCTGCGAGACCCGCTTTCGCTCCCTCTTCCTCCTCGGCTCTTCCTCCTCCTCCGTTGTCTCCGTCGCCCTTGTCTCCCGAGGTCCCCCGCCCTCCCACCGACCCGGCGCCGAGAGACGAGCGCGGGGGCAGCTCCGGCAGCCGCGAGGTCCGGACCCCTGTGGCCGAGATGGTGCGCCAGTGCGAGGAGGGCCAACCATGGCCCAGGAGTCGCCCTCGCCCTCGGACCATCCGAGGATTTCCCCACCCTCCCTCCGTCCTCCTCCTCCGGCGGTGGCGATGGCGGCGATGGCGATGTCGGCGGCGGTGTCCGGGCCTGGCCAGTGAGCCAGCGGCGTGGCTAAGTTGAGTCTAGTGAATGGGCCATGGCGGCCAGTGGAGGAGGAGAAGTCAGTCTTGAGAATCTGTCCCCGGCTGAGAGGTCAAAGCTTGCGGATTCCGAAGCCAACGAGTCGGGGGGAATTGGGGCCGTCGACATCATCTCCCCCGCCCGCGCGGTTGTTGCGAGGAAGTCTCAGCTGGGCCGCATCATCGCGAGCCGGTTGGTCCGTCAGTGGAAGCCCGTGGAGGGCGCTGGATCCGAGCGCCAGGCCAAATCTAAGTGGTGTGTCCATGGTCACCGAGATCTGGGCCCAGGGTCGCTGCAGGTATGTGCCCCCGCGCCACAGACCTCCAGCATAATGGTGTTCACCCAGGTCCTGATGAACATGGGGCTCCTTGCTGACATCGCCGATGTCAAAAACGCGTTTTGCCAGTCCCACCCCATGGCCAGGGCCCAGGGCCTCGTGTGCGTTGAGCCCTGCGAGGGCATAGACCTCCCGAAAGGATCCCTGATGAGCCGGAAGATCAACGTGTGCGGATTAGATGATGCGCCAGCGGCGTGGAGACGCACGGCGGTGAACCTCCTGTCCCAGCACGGCTGTAATAAGAGTCTTTTGGTGCCATGTTGGGGGGTCCAATATGGGCCCGATGCCGAAATATTCAATTCGATGCTGTTGGAAGCGGACGATTTCATCATAGGCAGCAGCTCGCCCGCAGCCCGGACCTGGATCAGACTGCTTTTGGAATCCCGCTTTAAGTTTGGTGCGTGCCGTGACTGCCATGGCGCCCCCGTTGAGTTTGCGGGCAGACGCGTGGTCATCAGCTCCCAGAAGGCTACTCTGGATCAAGGAAAGTATATCCTCGAAGAGATCAAGCCTCTCGCGATGACACGCGGCCGCCTCTCTTCGAAGACTAGCCCTCTTGATCAGTCTGAATTCGTAGCGCTGAGATCCCTTGTTTTCTTTTTTTCACTGGGTGGGTCGAGAGCCCGTGCCCGGGCCAGAAGCCGCGGGGGTGGTTCGCATTCTGGCGAGCAGGCTGAAGGCACCGACCACGGGTGACGTGGCACTGGCGAACAAGATGGTGCGTTACCTGCGAGCCTCCGCTTCTGGAGGACTCACCGCGTGGAAATTGGATCCCGAGCGCGTGGCTTTTATTTCCTTCTCCATTGAGGGGGGGGGTCGGTGCTTTTGATGACGTCTTCGACGATCGTGGCCCCCCCGAGGATCCCACGAAGGGCGCCTGGATGGTGCTCGCCGCTGGTTGCAGTGTACTAGAGAATCGATCAGTGCGCGCTTCCATCTTGGGCTGGCGCAGCTCGAAGCTGCGACGCAAAGTGTCCTCGACTCTGGCAGGTGAAACTCAAGCCCTGTCCTCGGCGGTGGCGGAAGTGGAATATTTGTAGGTCCACAATGGAAATATTATGTTCCAGGATGTTGACAGATAGGTTCATCCTAGATGCTCCCGGCTCTTCACTGCCGTGCTCAGAAGCAACTGCAGTCTCGGCTCCCGGGAACGTCAGGTACATGTGGTAGAGGCTAAATCTATATATGACACAATGCTTAAGGAGGGCAAGGCGTCTGCCCGTGACCGATGGACGGCCATCGACCTCGCTATCATATGTATCGCCTTCGAACGGGCCCAAGGCGCGGTTCGCTGGATTCCCCGCGGCCGGATGCTGGTCGACTCCCTGACGAAGGGCGACATCGCGAAGGGGAATGCCGTTCTTTTCGATTTGATGACGAGCGGCAGACTGGTTCTAATGGACGAGGGCGCCGAGGTTGAACGCCGTCGTGCCCAGCCAGGGCTCAAGAGCCGTGCTCAGGCAGCCTCCTGGCAGGTTTTGGATGAGACGGTGTGTATCCCGTGGAAGGAGCTCCAGGACCAGATCCGGGTTGGTGGTGGTGGTGGTTTCTCTTCTCCTCTTTCAGTTTCCAATGCCAGTTTGTATGCCTTCCAGCCATCTCATTTTTTATTGTTGTCTCTTTGCTGTTATCCCCTCGTTCTCTTTCAGGGGCAGCGACAGGCGGCTCAGTGCAGCCTGTCCTCCGTTGGTCACAGCGACCTAACGGACACGGGGTGCAAAACCAGGGGGGAAGTTCGTTCGACCTGTGTAGCAGGAGTGCAGCATATTCGCGAGTAGGTTTTGCTTTAAGTTTCATCGAGTGTGTCTTACCGTTGGGACACGTTTGGTTCAAGGGAAAGCATTTATTGCCCCTGCTGCTACGGCAGTATGTCGTGTTCGCTGATTCGTAGCTTGTGATTAAATTTTGCACAGCTTCTGTAGCGGTGCGGCGTTGCCGTGTCTGGGTGAGCTCTCGTATTATTTGGGCTGGGCCAGATTCTTCACTTAGTTCGTTGGTGGTGTTATGATGCAGCGATGTGGCTCGGATGGCGGACGGATGGGGCCACGGTGGGATTGTGGGGCCAGGAAGGGTCGCCCTCTGGTCTGGATAGGACTGGGCCACCTTGCACAACGTGCCCCCCTATCGGCAGAGATGGCGTCCCAAATGCGAAGCTGTATTTGCATCCTCGCGCTATCTGGCAGGAGGGATGCCCCCCCTCCTCCCCCATGCTATGGCGTGCTGCTTTCTGCCGTGCTCTTCTACGAACTGCCATGCCGTGCTCTACCATGCTTTGCGTACCCTATAGCGATCATTTCCTTGTTCGACATCCGATTGGGCGAGTCACAAAGGACATCTACGCCATGGTAAGGGATGGGAGGAAGGGATAGGACGTCAGATATGACGCGAACGCACCTAGCTTGCCCGCCTCCCCTCCCCCGCCACCACCCCAGCCTGCCCTGCTCGCGCCTTCAAGCGCTCGCGCCTGTCTTGCTCGACCCACCCCCCTCCTGTGTTTTTTTTCCACGGCACCCTTGCCGCCTTGAGCTGGACGACGGCGGCGGCGCCTTCACGCTTTTGGCCTCCGTGGACGACTCTGGCCTGGCGGTGGTGAGCGCAGGAGGGAACGGGCAGGGCTCGGCCCCTCGCCGAACGGGACGTGTGAGACTGAGTGTGTGGGTGTGTGGGGGCCGGGTTGAATTGTCGATTGAAGGTCAGGCGGGTAGCCCAAGGGCATTGCGGGTACAGGTGATGTTCGGCAGGCAGCCTCTATTGACATCCTGGCACAAAACAATTAGCCATGTGGCCGCGGGAAGACGTGCGAGGGAAGAGGGAGGCGCTGGTTTTCGGGAAAGGACGGTAAGGCGCGGAACGTGCAGGCCGCCGGTGCAGAGCGGAGTAGGAGGGCGTTTGGGCTCGGAAGCTGTGGGGAGGGCGTGGCCATAGCAGATTGTGTTTTTTTTTTTTTTTTTTTTTTTTTTTTTTTTTTTTTGTTTTTTTTTTGCATAGGGGACCTCTGGTTCGCGGTCAGTGGCTCTTCGTAGACACAACGAGCCATGGCCATGCCGAAGCTACGGTCGTCGCCACCGCAACCGTTACCTTCGCCACCCGAACAGCAGCTACCACCAGAAGCAGCGCCAACGCTACAGCCACTTGGCACTACCGCGCCACTGGTGCCGAAAATCAACCGCCTGCCCGCCCACCCCACGTTTTCCCGTCCATCCTTTCGCCCACCAACCCACCCACCCACCCACCTACCACCCATCACACGCCACCAGCCACCATCCACCAGCCAACCCTCCACCGACCAACAACCCACCACCAGTGACCCACTACCTGCCATCCTCGAACCAACACTCAATCATCCACAAGCCGCCACCTACCACCCACCGCCCCACACCCACCATCTATAACAAGACAGCCACCGCCCAACACCCACATGCCACCCATCACCTAACACCATCCGCCTCCGCCCATGGACACAACTCCCACAACCCATCACCCCACCCATCCACTTACCCTCCTTCTTCCGCCCCTCACCACCTCTCGCCCGCCGCACATCGCCCACCCATCATCTATCATAATTCATCGACCCACACACCACCATCCTCGACCACCGCTATCACCACCGCCATCCACCAGACCATCGGATCACCAACACCATCACCCACCACCACCACCGACCACGGACCAAGCTACGGTGGCTGTGATGATGAGGTTGAGGAAGAGGAGGAGGAAGAGGAGGAGGAGGAGGAGGAGGAGGAAAAGGAGGAGGAGGAGGAGGAGGAGGGGGAGGAGGAGGAGGAGGCGGAGGAGACGGAGGCGGAAGGCGGTGGTGGAGGAGTATGGGGGATTGGCTGCGGTAGGACGAGGGAGGAGGGAGGAGGTCGGTCGGTCAGTCGCCTGAGCTCTGCCAGGGACGTGAGGGCAACAGTGGCAGCCCCCGGCCCAGGAGGGAGGAGGAGGATGGGAGGAGGACGTTTACATTATGTTTGAGGAGGACAGTGGGCAGGAGGAGGATGAGCATGAGGATGAGGAGGAAGAGGAGGCGCAGAAACAGGAGGATAAATAATGAAGGAATGCATGGGGAGGGAGGTTGATGACGAGAAAGAGGAGGGCCAGACCAAACTCAAGCTGTATCAACGATGCTGCAGTACGCCCTCCCGTCCCAGGCCCTGCTCAGCAGCCCCAGCAGGTATTCCTTCCCGCGTCCCACGGACCCTCTGTTGCGGCGGGAGCTTCGTTCTGACAAGGATCGGCGGCGAGCGAGGGGGGGGAAATGAGAAGGAGAATGCCTTTTCGGAAGGCGGCGTGACTTCTCAAAAGCCCTCGCGCCTTCTGAGAAGTTTCTCGTGTCTTTGGGGAAGGTGCAGACAACTTCTCAGAAGGCCGTGGGACTTCCGAGCCTTCTGAGAAGGCCGGCCCCCTTTGATGGTGGTTTTCGGGTCATAACTCGGGCCTCCGGCGGCCGTTCGGGACGATCCGTGCACCCCCAGCACGCCCTCAACGAGGCGCAGCTGCTGGAGCGCATCCCGAGGCTGGAAACCCGCCGAGAAACGACGACGACGCCCAAAAACCTCGACCCTCAAACCCGAAACTCTCGAAACTGACTTCCTCCCTGGGCTCGCCGCCGAATGGAATGGCTTTCAGAACTTCGCGCTACAGGAATGTGCGACAAGGCGGGGACGTGCAGTGTTCAAGGACGTGTGGCGGCTGCCCCCCCGCTGGAACAGACGTGGACCTCTCCGCATTCGGGTGGCTGTCGACGGTCCTGCAGAGTTCGAGGAGACCAGGCGTCAGCTCACGAGCTTTTGCTCAGAGGAGGTAACGGTACCCATACCGCTACCCTTCCTTCGTTTTCCCCTTTCTGGGCCTCCTGGGAGGCCTTCGTCGCCACCGCTGGATTCGCCTCGAAACCCTGGTCAGAACGCAGGTCTGATGAGTAGCGGTATCGGTACCTTTTGGATTCTCCATTTGTAATTTGCTCCTCTGCCCCCCGGCCTCCTTTTTCCTCCTCCTGTGCCTGTGTATTTGTCCATTCTGTTGAATCTTGTTGCGTTTGATTTTCCCACGCGTCCGCCAGTGATGTACGGCTTCAGTCAGTCAGTCAGGCGGGAGCCCCATTTTGAAAAGGATCCTCGCTCCATCCCTGACGAAGTCTCAAGCGAGAGCCCCTCTCTGAAGAGGCGCCGCCCTCTGTGCGTGTAACTGATGCCAGGTCTTATCATTCTGGCAACAGATCCAAGAAAAGTCTCAGACGACAGCCCCAATTTGAAGAGGAAGCCTTCTCCATCCAGGTGTGCACAGTTTTACGACGAGTGCGTGGGGCCACGACATAGCCGAATTTTGAAAGCCATCCTCCCTCCATCCTTGAAACTGTTGTTGCTTTGAGACGAGTGTGCGCGGCGCGAGGTCGAGAGCCCCATCTTGGTTTCGAGTCGCCTTACAGCTGTGCAGCTCTTGGACTTTCACTGACGAGTGCGCGCGGCGTCAACGCGAGAGCCCCATTTTGGAAACGATTCGCCCTCCATCCGTGTAACCACTGGGCGTTTTAAGCTTCAAGGATGTGAGCAGTTTGTCGCACCCCTGCCTGGGTTGCGGTGGTGCGAGATGCAGATTTTGCTGATCGTGAAGAGGGGCGGTGGACCAGGAGGAGCAGAAAGAGGAGCGAAGGAGGAGAACGAGGATGGGGGACCATGCTTCTCAGTCGCTGTGCCAGGCGGTACCCTCGCGCTGCAGGCCGTGCCGCTGTTCCCGGAGCAGGCGCCTTCCCCTTTCTCAGGGAGGACCGCCGCCGAGGGCTTTTTTTTGACATCAACGCCAACGCCTCCAAAACCTTGGACTGACCAAGGTAGCGGGCCAGCAGCGGAGGGGGATGCTGGCTCCCTGACACAGACCTAAAGCCTGAGTCATCAGCGCAAGTGAGACAGCTCGAAAGACCAAAAGGGTCTCTGCGTCCTGGTGATCCAGAAGTGTGCACCTGCCGCAGCATCTCTAAGAGAGGGGCAAGCACACAGGTCCACAGGCGGACGCCGAGCTGCGAGCGCAAAACAATCCAAATGCAGGGATACTGCAAATGGACAGGCTATCTCGTACCGACTGCCTTCGGCTGTGCAAGAGGGACAACGGTCGAGACAGCGCCCTGCCACGAGAGCCTCGATAACCCCCAGTGGCGGAGGGCAGAGAAGGTGGGACGAGCGAACGCACATACGCACGAGGACGCCCGCCCAACGCCAACAAAAGAGAGATGTTGGGACCAAGAGCCCCAGGCTCAAGGCCACGGCAACACCAGCCGAGCCACAGTCGGGATGGAGTCACCCCCGTGCTCGGAACAGGGAAGAAGTGCACCCTAGATGTGCTCGTACCTTCCCCCAGAAGTGGGGTGTCTGACACGCGTGCACGACGGACGCACGCACAACGAGACAGCACACAACAAATCCAAATGAACAAAATTCGACCACCCACACAAGGACGACGAGCCCGCAGCCCCTGGTGCAGCCAGCGCCAGGACGACCGTCGGACTCGCCCCAGATGTGGGGTATAGCACGGATGCCTGCCAAAAGGGTCAGACGCATCGGGCCGTGCTGACAAAAACAAAGAGAGACGGCGTACCCACGCCAACAAGAAAAACTCGACCACCCACACAAGGACGACGAGGCCAGCAGTCCCTGGTGCAAACAGCGCCAGGACGACTACCAACCTCGCCCCAGATGTGGGGTATAGCACGGATGCCTGCCAAAAGGGTCAGACGCATCGGGCCGTGCAATCAAAACGAAAACGGAATGGCGGCCCTGCGCCACAGAAACTTCAATCCGAACTGTCCGACTCATCCTGGCGACGCCTCGCCAGGAAGAAAGGTGTGTCCTGTCGCATTTTTTGGGGTCCCTGCCTCATCTCCTGCTGAGGGGGCTCCGACGCAACTCGACCACTCGAACCGGGTGCCTGCACAGGCACATCCGAAGCACCGTCGGCGAGAGCAGCGAGGGCAGCAGCAGAGTTGAAACACTGGATCAGGCCTTCAGTGTCCACCGTAACGCCAGACATCCTCAGCTGATACCTGGGGTGGAGGCCTTTGCACAAATATTCCCAACCCTGCTTGCACGCACGCGAAGGGACCGAAACACATTGTTTACTGAGTCCACGAATATGGCCTCCGCAGGTGAGGCATTTACATCTAAGACAGATAAAGAGCACAGAGTTGTCAGAACACGGAAAAGCCACCGTCCGATGGCCTAAGGCGTCCTGAGAGTCTGCGTGGACTAAAGAGGATCGAGAGCAGGAACCTGGAGCTGGCTTCGAAAAGGCACGGTTCCCCTTCAAACAGTGAGCGCGCTTCCAGATTCCGCCCCACGACCTCCAGTCGTGCCCTGGCGCCTCCTTCTTCGGACTCTTTACCTCTGGGAGTCTGCCGGCCCCATCCAGATCCACATGAGGCCACAGAGGGAGCACATGCACAGCAACTTTCAAGGTGGCCCTCGCCAATGACACGAGGCGATCGGCCTCCTGCAAAAGAGAATCATCCGTGGGGTGAAGGCGGACCGCATGCTTGGCACCCACGTCAGCGTGGTGGTTGCCAAGACGGCGCCACCGCCCCTCAGCTGAAATCCCAGGTGCGTCCAGGTCAAGGTGGGCAGCCACCTTGGAACAGGCCGCCATCCCCGAGACCTGACCATGCACTTGAAGAGAAGCCCCTGAATACATACGCTTAGGCGAGAGCTGAAGCTGCTTGTCAAGCGCAGCAGTCTGGACCACATTACTGCAATCTGAATACGCATGGCATTCAGAAGGATGGGTCGAAAGAACATTGGCCCAGGTGACCGCATTGAATTCAGCGCTCTGAGGAGTCTGAGGGTAGGGGCCCCAAACAGGGGCCCTCAGCTCGGCCACAAGATCGCCCGAATTGTCGACCATGCAGACGGAAGAGCCAGCCCTAGACAGCTCCTTGACAGTATGACGGGAGCATGAACCGTCCACAAAAAGGGACCCCCACACTCTATTGCTGACAGGGACTCCGTCAGGGTCCGTCTCAGGCATCTTATGCCAGATCAGGGTCGGACCATCGTCTTGCTCATCGGCCGTCCGAGGGAAGGAGTCGGCGGGGTGCCGAAAGGCGCCAGATATAAAGACAAAAAGCTCGTCGTCATCTCCAGGCGCCTTAGCGGACAGGGCGGCCTCAATCACCTCGCTGTCAGTAGCCTCGAGCCGAGCGGTGGCAGCATCAGGGACAGGGCATTCCCACAGCCGATGGAAGATGGTGTCGTTAGCCCCGCAAAGAACACAACGCGGATCGGCATCGTACCCGAGGGCCCTGGCGCGAGCCTGAGTCGTGATGGCCTCAGTGGAGAAGGCTCTAATTCTGGCCTTCTGAAGGGCCGTATAACGCTTGCTACGAGATAGATTCCTTGACGACGTCATAACACAAACGATAAGAGATTCCCCGACTGGCAGCAGCATCTCTTTCCAACATGCTCAGGTATCCCGCTCGGACCAGGGATCCAACAAGAGCAGGCGAGAAAATCCCAAGGGGGATGGATTTCCCAAAATCGTCGACCAGGGTCATGAAGTTAGACATGCTCCACCCTAATCTCAGAAGAGACATCCTCATGGCCGTGATCGGCCCAGCGACCTTTCTCCAACTGCAACAGGGGTCGGACAAAAGTAGCAGCCCAGGCAATCCTCAAGGTGGGCAGGGGAACCGCCCAGCTGAAAGCACTTGTCTGCCTGAGCCAGATCTCTTTGCTCCATCTGAGAATGGGAGCTGTGGCCGTGCGCTATGTCGGGTCATTGCCAGCAGGGCGAGCACCGTGAGAGACCTCAGCCGACTGTGAGGGCGCACAACACTAAAGAGGCGTCGGCGCAGCAAACTAAGGTCGTGATCACTTATGCCCGTGACTTCGGAGCCGTGCGAGGCCCCCGCCAGGGGCCCAGCTGAGAAGACCTTTAAGGCAGAAGACCGTGTAAGCACCTTAGCCTGCCGCACTAGGCGCCGCGCCGCTCTGCCAGCCTTGGCGAGCCTGGCTTTCATCTTGGCCGAACGTCCAGCATCTCTAACAGCGCGGCCTGCCGAGTAGTCAACTCCAAGGTTGACAGCTGAACCTGTGCAGCGCTGGCACAGATGTCTGAGACGAGAAAGCACCTGCGAACCCACGCACTTTGAGCTGGACGCGATGGCCGTTTTCTCAAGGGCGAAGGGGCATCCGAAAACTTCCTGGACGACCGGGTCGAGCGCCTGGGCCTTTCGAACGATCGAGTCAATGACGACTTTCGGGGGGCCAGTCGAATACAAACCTTGATCATCAATGTGAACGTCCAAAGAAGCAGAAGGCGAAAGGGGGGTGCTGTCGTACCCTTCCATACAATAGACACGGATGAGGGTGGTGGCCATTGAACAGCCAGCGATGATGCCGTTGACACAGAAATATGGGCCCTCGAGCCAGCCTCCCAGGCTGAGGCAGCGACCAACTTTGTAGGCAAAGATGCAAAACCTGGCTATCACCATCGGGAAACCGAGCCTGCGACAACGGTCTTCTAAACGCTCAAGGTTAATGTTCTCGTAGAATTTAGAAAGATCGAAGAAAATGCTGCAATTGGCTTGGCCCTGAGCGACTCCCGCCTCGGCTGTCACAGGCTGGCGCCAAACAACGTCAGCTGCTCCCCGAAGTTGGCCAGCAGCCCAGTACTCACGGGGGTGGGCCAACTCCCAGGCAAGCGCCAGGGGTCGCCTGCAGCGCCCCCGCACCCTGTACCAGGAGCAGAACACCCCTTTGGGTCTGTAGCCCCCAGTCGGCTCCGCCGCCGAGGGCCGCCGCAGTTTCCCTGTGAGAGAGGAGGCCGTAGGAGGAGGAGGAGGAGGAGGAGGAGGAGGAGGAGGAGGAGGAGGAGGAGGAGGAGGAGGAGGAGGAGGAGGAGGAGGAGGAGGAGGAGGAGGAGGAGGAGGAGGAGGAGGACCAGTGCAAACCCGAGAGTCGCCGACGATATGGCAACAAGCCATCCCTCTGAGTTTCCTCTTCACAGGCCCCTGCAAGTGTTGGGTTTCACTGAGGAAGGTGTCCCCTTTGAAAACAACCGTCTGAAAATCTTGAGCAGTGCCAAAACACCGTTCCTGCGTCTTCAGCGCCGCTAACTAACGTGACAGTTGCTTCCGGACGATTCCGATTCGTGCCAGAACACCTTTCCTGGGAATTTACTTCCGCGAGCCCACGTAACTGTTGCGCCCTGACAGTCTCCCATCGTGCCACAATAATCTTTCTGGAATTGTTGTAAACTCTTGAGACGGATGTGCGCGGCGCTAAGGCGAGAGTCCCATTTTGAAAATGAGCCGCCCTCCATCCGTGAAGCTCTGTCAAGCTTTAGACGAACGTGCGCGGCGTCAAGGCGAGAGCCACATTTAACAAACAGCCCGCCCTCCATCCGTGAAGCTCTTGCAAACTTGTAAGACGATTGTACGCGGCGCTAAGGCGATAACCACATTTTGAAAAGGAGCCGCCCTCCATCCGTGAAGCTCTTGCAGTTTTTGAGACGAAGGTGCGCGGCGCTCAGGCGAGAGCAACATTTTGAAAAGGAACCGCCATCCATCCGTGAAACTCTTGCAGACTTTCAGGACGAATGTTTGCGGCGTCTAGGCGAGAGCCACATTTTGAAAAGGAGTCGGCCTCCATCCGTAAATTTCGGGCAAATTCCAAGCGTGAGGGTCATCAGTGGTGAGGACGTCTAGGCGAAACGCCCGGCCTGCCCTGCTGACACGTCTCGGGGTGCGACAAGGAGGACTTATATAGAAGGACGTGTAATGGAGGGGATGGGGAAGGAGAGGGGAAGGGGGAGGAGAAACAGGAGAAGCAGGAGGATGATTCGCAGGAAACGCAGGATGATGATAAGTAGGAAGCTGAGGAGGAGGTGGAGGAGGAGGAGGAGAAGGAGGAGAAGGAGGAGAGAAAAGGACGGAAAAGCAGGATGATGAAGAGAAAAGTGAGGAGGGAAGGGGAGGGAGCGTAAGGAGGAGCAGGAGGAGGGGAGAAGGCAAGCTAGGTGCGCTCGCGTCATATCTGACGTCCTACCCCTCCCGCAATCCTTTACCATGGTGTAGATATCTATTTGCACAGTTTGATGTCGTAGCATGGCATAGCATTTCATGGCATAGCATGGAATTTAATATCAACGTGTAGCATGCCATATCATGGCGTGGCGACTCCCCAGTGTGGGGGGGGGCTTCTGCGGCCCAAACCATCAACGAATCGACACCGAATCGGGGGGCCATTTTCTAGATTTTGGGGCCTATTTGGAAGATCCGAAAACCATGCCGTGGCATGGCACTGGAAATCATGACCCCAGTGCTGCAGCGGGAGCACGATTCGGAACGAGCGGAAACGCGGAATTGAGGCTAGCGCTGCAGCGGGAGCACGATTCGGAACGAGCGGAAGCGCGGAAATGAGGCCAGCTCTGCAGAGGGATCACGATTCGGAACGAGCGGACGCCCGAAAATGAGGCCAGCGCTTCAGCGGGAACAGCATTTTGCACAAACACCCAGTTCCGGTTTGTTAAAAACAGTATTCGGAGGGGTCCAGACATCTTTCGGACGTCATCAGGGGAGAGAGGAGAGGAGTATTCATACAGTGCAGTTGCAGAGGGGATAGAGAGCCACCTCCCTGCTCATTTGCCAGGTGTGTCATCGACCAGCGTTGGCTGCACAGCACCGATCACACAGCGTGTGGAGGGAACAGGTTCTGGATCTGCGGCGGGGCCCGCTGGCGGCTCGCAACAGGCGTGCACTTCTCTTGAAGTTCTCGCGCTGCAGCCCAGGGACTGCCTGGGTGCTGGAGCAGGGGCGAACACCCATCCACCCCGAACTAAGCTCTCTTGCGTCGTGGCGCGGCCGAGGCAAGCCGCTCGCGAGCCGGGGCGAGACCTGGACACGGAGTCGCGAATTAGCCCGCATGCAAGAGGGGGAGGGAGAGGGGGAGAGGGCGGCCGCGGAGAAGGGGGCCGAAGCGCGGGGGCATTCTCACGCAGCGAGGCCGCAGAGAGTGCGCGGGAATGACCGGGCTGAAGGGCAGCCCTTGGCAGCGATCGCGGGGCGGCATCACGACGCACCCAGGGGCGGATCAGCCGCAGTACGGGCGTAGCCCAACAAGTGGAAGAGGGGGAGCGGCAGGCTGCCGGAAATCCAGGGCGCCAGGCGGGATGAGGCAGCGGCGTGGGCGCCCGGCGGCGGGCCAAGGGCGCGGTGCCACAGCTGTTTGAGCTGTGGTCCTTACCCCCAGGCAGCCCATCGGCCTCGAAACCCATCTCGAGGGATCGTCGACAGGACATATCCCTTCCCAGGGGCGAGGGGATATCAGCTCTCCTAGCTGTGGCCAGCCAGCAGAGTGGAGGAGAGGAGAGGGCGGGGAGCGGAAGCCGGCGCCATCTGCCGCCCCGTCGGTGCGGGAAGCGAGGCGGCAGTGCCGTCGCCGGTGCGGCTGGGCTGCCAGAGCCCGGCATCGCCGGCGCCCCTGTCGCCCGCGGCCGCGCTGAGCGCTGCCGGTTGGCCCTGGGGGGGCGCTCTCCTGGAATGAGAGGGGATAGGAAGGATGGGGGGTGGGTAGGGGTGGGTGGGAGGAAGGAGCGGGAGGGAGTGGGCCGGGAGACGCCGACTTCACACTTGCACCCATCGTTGCCAGGCCCATCCTGGTCTCAGCATCGATGCAGGTGCCCTCTGGGCCTGGCCAGGAGGGCTGTCACACTGATCCTGGGCCCAGGTCCGTCTGGCCAGGATGAGTCTTGGTGTGTAGTTTGCATCCTCCAGACATGAAGTGTGTGTGGCGATCAGGGCGGAAGGACTGGAGTCGGGAGGAGTGGAATAGAGTCGGAAGGAAGTATGACCAGAGGGGAGCAGTGATGAAGGAAGTTTTTTGGAGCAGGATGTCTAATCAAATCAACATGGCCCGCCTCCTCGCAGTGGATGTGCTGCTCAATGGGGACGGGATGGTTCCTGCTCCTCTTGCTCCAGCTTCCCCTGTGTCTCCTTCTGCTCTCCCCAGCTCTCCCTTGCACGTCTTGCTTCAATGCTCGATTACTTTATTCGTAATCGGAGCTCTCTTTTCCGACGGCCATGAGGGAGGATACAGCGAGAAGGCAGGAGGAGGAGGAGGGGGAGGAGGCGAGAACGGGGGAGGAGGAGGAGGAGGAGTAGGAGGAGGAGGAGGAGGAGGAGGAGGACGAGGAGGCGGATGATGATGGTGATGATGATGACGAGGATGATGATGATGGTGGCTGATTATGATGATGACGATGATAATGATGATGGTCGTGGTTATGGTGGTGGTGGTGGTGGCGGTGGTGGTGATGATGATAATGATGATGGTGGTGGTGATTCTGATGATGCTGACGATGATGTTTGCGATGATGACGATGATGATGATGATGAAGGTACTGATGATGATGCTGCTGCTGGATGGTGATGCAGATTATGATGATGCTGATGCTGATGCCAATCATGACGATGATTGTGATGATGATGATGACGATGATGGTGATGAGTGCAGATGATGATGATGATGATGATGTTGATGATGATGATGATGATGATGATGATGAGGATGATGAGGATGATGAGGATGATGATGCTGCTGATGATGATGACGCTGATGCTGACGCTGATGCTGATGCTGATGCTGGTGATGATGATGATGATTGTGATGATGATGATGATGATGATGATGATGATGATGATGATGATGATGATGATGACGATGATGATGCTGATGCTGATGCTGATGCTGATGATGATGATGCTGATGATGATGATGATGATGATGATGATGATGATGATGATGATGACGAGGAGGATGAGGAGGATGAGGAGGATGAGGAGTGATAGTATGAAAGCAGGGAGGAGAGAAGGCGGCAAGCTAAGTGCGCTTGGGCCATATCTGACATCCGACCCCTCCCTCCCTTCCCCCTTCCCATTGCGCTGAATTCTTTTCTATCCACTGGCTGGGGTATCCTAGACGTCCTTGCTCCTCAATTGACTGACCCCTCTGTGTGATGGGCAAGAAGAAAGGACAGCTTTGTACACTGGACGATGAGGAGAATGGGGAGGTGGCGGATGAGAAGGAAGAGCAGGAGGACCAGGGGAAGGCGGAGGAGGGAAAAGGAGAGGGACGGCAACGACGAGGAACGAATCGATCCTGAAGTATGGCCTGCGCTGGTGTAAGGGCGCAAAACGTCGGGAGCAAAGCGTCGATCCTGAAATGCGACCAACGCTGCAGCGGGAGCATAACTTGTCAGAGCCGAGGGCGAACAAGCACATAGGGCAAAACAGCGTTTGAAACCCTGTGTGCGACAGCACCTCTGCGGGAGTGGGTGCGCCATCGCGCAGCACAGTATCGGGGGAGAGGCGAGAGTAGTGCGTGCATGCGCTGTAACTGGAGAGGGCGAAGGCAGGAGAAGGGCTGCAGGGAGGAAGGCGGGGGGATGGAGCAGTGAGCAGGGTGGAGGGACCCGCCACGCGCACGACCAGCCTATCAGGACCACGGCGCACGCAGGGCGCGCGCCGCATTACCTCTTTGCATCGTGAGGCGGGTCTCCCGCAGCGGGAACTCGCTCGCCTCTCGCCTCCAGCCCCAGCGGCTCGACGCTTCGAGCGCTGACGGGCCCCGCCAGAAGGTGCGATCCGATGCAGGGCCCCTGGTGCTCCACTCGCGTGGGTTGTGCGCTGCGGCGACGATTGCCGGATCGCGAGCGCGGCAGGCGCTCTTCTGCCCATCCCTCCCCTCCCCGATACCTTCCCCTTTTCTCCTTTCTCCTCCCCTCCTCCTCCCCTTTCTTCTTTCTCCGCTTTCCCTTCTCAACCCTTTCTCCTCTCTCTCGTTTACTTAATGGATTATCCTTTATCATTGCTCCTTTTAACCGCTCTGCTGCCACGCTGTCCTGCTCTCCTTCTCTCTTCCGCCCTCCATGCCTCCACTTCTACCCCTCCCCTCTGTTTGCCCTCTGCCGTCCTCCTCAGGCCCGTCCCTGCTCACCCCCATCCCCTCCGTCCTCTTCTATTCCAGTTCCCCCCTCTCGTCCTCTGCCTCACCGTGGGTCGGGGTGCGTACATCCTCAGTGGGCCTCGGGAACGGCAGGGCAGTTTTCTGACTGTTTTCAGTTACTCCGACGGTAGGATCCCGTATGATAATCTTCCAAACTAATCTAGAAATAATTCCATCGTCGTCCTTGTGATTACGGAGGCTCTCTTCCTGTCTGGTATCTGTTGGTCCTTGCCGACGCTTACAAGCTTGATTGAGGATGACCGCCTCGGATTACAAAGGACGCCCGACAAAGGAAAGATGCTCCTGCTGGAGATTTTCTGAAGATTCAGACTCACAGGTGTCACCCAACCTGTGAGTTTTTAGAGGGAATCTCCCGATGGCCGCCTCGGAGTAATACACGACGGGGGGCCTGTAGGGCGGGGCTCGTGCTCGAGACTTCCTCGTGATTCACTTACAGGCAGGCGCCCGAGACATCCTCTCAATGTGCTCAGGAACGAGACTCCCACTTGAGACTTCCTCAGGATTCAGGCTCCCAGTGTCCCGATGGCCGCCTCGGATTACCAGCGTAAGGTGGGGACCCCATAGGGAGAGGGCTCTCGCTCGAGACTTCCTCGCAAATCACTCACAGACAAGGCTCCCGCCTGAGATATTCTTTAGTTTGCTCGAGACAGGCTCCCGCTCGAGGCCTCCTTGGGATTCAGGCTCCCATGTGTCACCAAACATATGTTCTAACATGGTATTCCGATGGCCGCCTCGCATTACTATCATGATCTGCGCGCCACAGGGAGGGGGCTCCCGCTCGAGACTTCCTCGCACTCACTCACCGACGAGGCTACCGCCCGAGACTTCCTCAGGATTCAGGCTCCCAGGTTTCGCCAAACTTGTGTTTTTACATGGTATTCCCGCCTCGGAGTTGCGAACATGGTCTGCGCGCCCCATCGGGAGGGGCCTCCCGCTCGAGACTTCCTCGCACTTCCCACTCACCGACGAGGGTCCCGCTCGAGATTTCCTCGGGATTCAGGCTCCCAGGTGTCACCAAACTTTTGTTTTGTCATGGTAATCCGATGTCTGCCTCGGATCACCAACATGATCTGCGCGCCCCATGGGGATGGGGCTCCCGCTCGAGACTTCCTCGCACTTCACTCACCGACAAGGTCATGATGGCGGATGGTTGTGATAGGATGATGATAGTCATGATGATGGTAAATATGTGATCGTGATGATGATGATGCTGATGATGATGATGATGATGAGGATGATGATGATGATGATGCTGATGATGCTGATGATGATGATGATGATCATGATGATGATGATGATGGTGATGATGATGATGATGATGATGAGGATGGTGCATGGCCATGATGGGATGGTGATCGTGATGATGATGACGATGATGATGATGACGATGATGATAATTGTGGATGGTCAAATATGATGTTTCTGCTGCTGATGATGGTGATGGTGGGTGATCAGGATGAGATGGTGATAGTGATGATGATGGTCATGATCTTAATGATGGAGGAAGTTCTCTCTCTCTCTCTCTCTCTCCTGTGCAGGGCCTGTGCAAATAAAAGGATGTGGGGAAATTACTGTTGCTGGAGAATGGCAACGGCATCATATTGCTCTCGGGAATGGGAACAACGACGGCTCTTGGATTGGTGCCGAGAGAAAACGGCGATAACCGTGAAAAGATGGCGCTGGAGCGGGCCAGCACAAGTTGCAAAACGGAACTGGCAAAAAAACGGCCCTGCCATTTTCACGGCCCCTGTAAGGGTGCGCCCACTGGTTGCCCCGACGACGGCCGCCGCCGCGGCAGGGGGACGTGGAGGCGCGAGCCCTTGCGAGCGACCCGCCATTCTAGCTTCCTCCCTGCGTGTCCTCTTCAGGCGTTGCGTAATAAGGCGGTGATAATCGACTACTCGTAAGAGCCACCCTTCGAAGGAGTGACCTTTGGTGCGGGCCCGCTGGGGTCCCCCGATGTCCGAACGCGATGCGGTAGTAGCGTCTTGCGCGCTTGTATCTGATCCCCCGGGCCCCCCCCAAAGCCGCACACCCTAAGTCATTCTAACCCAGAGTCACTCTTGCTTGTAGGTGAGATAAGTGGGGGGGGTCAGGAAAGGTGCGCATTTCGTACTTTTTATGAGGCCCTGAAGGGGCCCCCTAGGGTCCACAAGTAGCGCGAAGGGTGTACGTTTCTTCGCCGCCCCCCACCCACACTGATCGCCCCCCCCCCATCATGCAACGCGTGACCTCTGCGTCGCCGTGGTCTGGGGTGCGGCCACCCACTCGCCCCGACGACGGCGGCCGCCGCCGCCGTGGCTGTGCAGGCGTGAGCAACGGCGAGCGGCCTGCGCGGGGCAGCCGGCGCCCCCGAGCCTGCCGCCTGTCGCCAGGAGCTGCTTCCGACTGCTGGGCCAGAGCCGTGATATCCGGCGACTCGGAATCATCGGGGCGGAGGTTTTTCATTGTCGTCGGCCCTTCGGGGCCGTCGTCGCCACGGCTGGGCGCAGCTCAGAGAACTGGCGTGCTTGGGCCCCTTGAGGGGCCCGGGGACCGATTTTGAGCTGCCGTTGTCTCAAGTCGCCCTGCTCTGGGCCAGGGGGTGGGGGAAGGAGGCCGAGGGAGGGGGCCGAGGGAGGGAGGTGGTGCGGGATCGAGGGAATCGAGGGAGGGAAGGAGGGAGGCTTGGAGCGAAGGGACGGGGTTGGGGAAAATGGAGGATGGAGAGGAGGGGAGGGGCAAGGGAGGGGTGGGTCGAGGGAAGGGGGGAGGGAGTTGGACCAGGGAGGGGGTCAGGGCCAGGGGGGAGTAGTGCCTGGGAGGGGGCGTCAGGGATCCGGGCCAGCTGAGGGTGACGTGCACTGTTGCATCGGGGGCTGGGCCAGCCTCGAGGGCAGCCCAGATGGGAGGGCCAGGGGCGGGGTTAGGGTCAGGGACGAAAAAGAGGAGGAGGGGAGGAAGAGGAGGGGAGGAGGAGGAGGAGGAGGAGGAAGGAGGAGGAGGAGGAGGAGGAGGAGGAGAGGAGGAGGAGGGAGGAGGAGGAGGAGGAGGATGGAGGAAGGAGGAGGAGGAGAGGAGTAGAGGGAGGAGGAGGAGGAGGAGGAGGAGGAGGAGGAGGAGGAGGAGGAGGAGGAGGAGGAGGAGGAGGAAGACGAAGGAGGGATGTCTATCTCATCGTCGTGGTGCTCAACTTCATCGTCGTGGTCGGCTACCTCGTGCTCGCGGCTGGCTACGTGCTCAGGGAGAGCGTGCGCTCGCCGGTATAGACCGGGCTTCGGCGCTCGCAGGAGGAGGAGGCGGAGGAGGAGGAGGAGGAGGCGGAGGAGGACGAATGAGGGAGGAGGACAGGCATCTCGTGTGGTTTCTCCCCATTCCCCAAAGGTCCCTGTCTGCCCTGAGTCGTCGTGCGTCAGTGGGACGGGGTGGTGGCGGCGGGTGGGGCGGTGGTGGGTCGCTGGGGTCGGGGTCTCAGCTCTCCTCCGTTTGGTGCCCATTGGTCCCGCGTGCGCATCCATGCATGGAATGCTTTTTGCGCGGGGCGCCGTGCAACGCAGTTCGCGAAGGGACTAGGTGTAGTTGGCGTTGCGCCCGTTGCCTCCCTCCCTCCCTGCGTCTCCATGTCGGCGTTGCGTAGGTTGGCTTCCAGCGTCTGTTTGAGTGACACGGACCTGTGAGTGATCGGGCGTGGGTGCTTTGGCTTGCGTTGCCATGTCGTCGGCGTCCTGAGCTAAAAAGTTGGGTCCGAGACCGTTCTTAGAGAAGACCAATGGTAGAAGCAAGCGACAGAACGTGGCGAAGCACTGAATTTCTGCCGAATGGCCTGGAACACTTGCTGGCCGCAACGAATTGATCGAATTACCTTGACTACCATGACGACGATACTTGGACAGCACATAGCCCAGACGTGCATCAGTGACCATAGCATCAGCCACTTTTGAAGTCTTCGCGCCGTGCGCCTGCAGGAGGGCGCGGCCGTCATAGAATAAACAGAAACATGTTTGCAGTTGCACTGCGCCATGCCCACCCGCGACATCTCACGGACAGGGGGGCGATGCCGCGTGGGCGCGCGTCTGGGAGGCCTGGCCAGAACGATCGTAATACCCAGGAAAGGGGCGGAGCCCGCGAGAGAGTGCTATCGACCTCTAGCTCATAAATCTCCGATTACATTTTGCCGGGGGGCAGCGGTGCGCCTGCTGGACGCGGACGCGGACGCGGAGCCCACTTGTGGGGCAATTCGGGCTCTCTGGCCGGGCGCCGCGAGCCGAGCTCATGGGCAGTGCAATGTCCAGTCCAAGGTAGTCTGTGTTTCCTCGTCGCGGCGTTCTGAGCCGGCGACGCTCTCTTGGATGCCACCGGAACGGGCGACGCCGACTGCGGTGGAACCCGCGAAACATGAGGGAGGCGGCTATTTCGAGTCCCTTGAGACGGCGTTGGGCAGCCTGCCAGAGGTGAGGCCGAGACAACAGCAGGCTGCGCAAGCCGCAGGTCAGCCGGATGCCGCGTCGAGCAGGGCGGCATCCGTCTCGAGTGCCCGCGAAGAAGCTGGCCTGAATGACGAAGCGGCGGTGGGAAAACGGTGATGGTGCGCGCGGTCCCTAGCGAGGCGTTTGTCTCGCAAGGCGCTTACGTGGGGATCCTCATGCACGAATCTTATGGAGGCGCTTATGTGGGGAGCGGGAACCAGGCCTCCGTACTCGCAGAGGAAATTGTGTAGTGCCGAAATTCCGCGCCATCGCGTGCATCATGCAAGCGCGCGAGATACGGGCCCCATCTCTGGGGGAGGGTATTTCCCCCGCGGCTGAGTCCAGCAAGCGTGTGTCCGAGTGGAGCCAGCGACTGGCCAAATTCTAGTACAACGAGAGGCGTGCGCTCCAGACCTTTGCTGCAATGGCGGCGGGGGCTCGACCGGGCGGTTCGGGGGCAGTGCCAGATCTGCCGCGATCGGTGAAGCTGTCCGCGGCTGTGGTCGCAATGTCCTGATAGGCGAGGGAGTTGAGGCCTGCTTCCGCTGCTGGCCCCGCGGGGTGCTCTGTAGGTCCGCGTGAGGCGGCGGTCCGCAAAGATGGGCGCGTTGGACGAAAAGGGCCCAAGACATGAGAGGAACGAAAAGTGCCAGGAGTGGTTGGCCTTTCCGAGAAGCTGTTGACCTCTCTGGGCGGCCTAGCACGCTTTCACTGCGTGGGCATGAATACCTACAGGTCATACTGTGCGACACTTACCAAACATGAAGTCAGGGGTGGGTACCCACTTACGTGACCTCTTGAGTCGAGTCTCGAACTCACCTTAATTCGTCGAGGGATGCTGCTGTAGCAGGCCGCGGAACCCGGAGCATCTTGCATCCAGTTGCGTTAGCGGGCGCCTGGGAGTGGGAGGGGTCTGGCGACGTGCGGGGGCGCCGCCCAGAGGGGCCAGGTTATACGGAAGGTCTCACCTGGCCCTCGTGTAGAATTTGGTTGCGTTTTCGGTCTGAAGGTTACTGAATCAGAATTTGGTTAAAACAGCGCACGCGTGCTGGCCTTAGTCTATTGTGAAGGCCTTGCGGCTGGTGCCGCCGGCGCAGAATGGGGAGCCAGAGGCGTCGGGGTGGCAAGGAATCGAATGGGAAAGCTTCTACCAGGGAGGGGTGCTCCTCCACCAGGGGAGGGTCACAACCCCTGGCGCCGCATGATACAAAGGGTATTGGTGCCATCCAGTATAATGCTTCACAAAAGCGAGATTAATGAAGTAGGCCAGGGCCCATGACACACCAACCGCTGAAAACGCAGCGGCAGATGTTCAACTGCCTGAGCCCGTCGCCCAGGGATGGCCCTGGTGGGAGGGTAACAACTCGTTTTTTCCAGCTGCTACCGAGTTCGGCTTTCGCCATGCCTTGCACGATGCCCTTTCTCCTTCCCCTCTCCGATCGTCCTCCGTCTCTTCCAAGCCTCCTTGTCTTCCTCGTCGTCCTCGCGGTGGAGGGGGAAGGAGGGGAGAGGCGTTGCGAGGGGGGTAACGACGAGGATGTGGAGAATGATGACGAGGAGGAAGAGCGGCTGGAACACGAGGCCAGGGGTGAGGAGGGACCTTGGCACAGAACTCCCACGTTGCGATTTTTGACGGTATGTGTCCAGGATCTCTCGACGCCATCCCGGGGGCAGATTTTTAGTAGGGAACCGGCTTTGATGGCCACAGAACCCGAAGGAGGCATTTGGATGCTGTACTTGCGAAAACGCCTGCCGTTTCTGGTTCACGATGCTCCGGGGTCTGAGCGCGCCCCCCCGCTTCCCCCCTTCTGACTTGGCAGACCTGCGATGCCTCGCGGTCCTCCTGGGGCCGCCGGCAACGTCTTCGTCCTCGGCGCCACGGCCCCCCCGCCCGCGCGGCTGCCGGGCGCACGGGGTTCTGCTCTTGGTCGTCGTTGCTCTCCGTTTCTCCATCGTGGCTGTCGCCGCCGTCGTCGTTGGCGTCTTCATGCCCTCCTCCTCCTCCTCCTTCTCCTTCTCCTTCTCCTTCTCTTTCCCCCATCCTAGATTTTGGGTTCTCGTCAGCGGAGACGCCTCCGCCTCCTCTCTGCCCGCCCCCCCTTCCTTCACCACCTCTGTTTAGATTGTTTCGCAATCAGTCGCTCGCACTGAGCCAGGTCTGACTGACACCCATACTCGCTCGTGCACGGTTGGACTTACTCATTCGGGTCACCCAGACTAACTAATACAAAATCATAGTCAGACCCGCTAAGACACACTCGGACTCTCAGTCCTTCGGTCCCACCCACATTCACACCTACGTTCTCGCGCACCCATATTCAACACTCGCAGACACCATTTTTCTTAAAGGCAGTTGCACTTCCACGCGCACCCATTCACTCAGCCACACTCGCTCACACATTCACTCGCGCTGTCACTCATTCGCGCACCCACTCGTTCCCAGTCATGGCCACCGCAGGGTGTTCATTGTGTAAGGCCCTGGGGCTGATCATGCCGGCAGTAGTCGGTTTAGTCGTGGTGGTTATGTTGGCCGCTATCGAGGTGCTTGTTGAGCAGCATCCGTGCCGAACCAGCCAGGTCAAACCCAGCAAAGCCGCGGCATCCAAGCCGAGCCAGGCACGCGCTACAGGCCCCCGCACCCCGAAAGACAGCCCGCGACGGGAGCCCCCCTCCCGGAGCGAAGGGGCGTGGAGACGGGCTCAGGGTGGGGGGGAAGCCGACCTAGGATTGCCGTTGAACCGCCGACTGGGGCGTGGGTGCCCCACGCTTCACCGTGTCTAGGAACTTACAGTCCCTGCGCTCTTCCCCTCTCGCGTTCGCGCCTCTATCTGCTTCGTTGCGTCCCACAAAGAGTCGAGGAGCTTGCTGCTTGACGCTCGGGGGCCCATCGGCGATGTGTCGGTGATGCGTCGCTGGCTTCCTGGCGCGCGCGTGCGCGCGCCCGTCTGTGCAGTCGGGAGCGGGGCGCGCTGGCCGGGAGGGCGCCCGCTGTGCCTCCTCTTTGCTCCTCCTCTGGCGCCAGATCGCAGAAAGGCCTTGGCCGTTTCAGGATGTTCAAGAAAAAGAGAAGAGAGAACGTGCGTGCTCTATGGTCTTACGGAAGAATCCTTAGTACAGAACCTTTCAGCAGAAACGGTCTCTTTCGGAGGGAACCCGAGGAAGCCCGATTCAGGATTCTTCTGAAGGAGTCCTTATTGAAGAGCCCCTACTATGGATTCCTGAACAAGTATTCCCAAGGACAAAAGAGTCTTCACTGTAGACTCCGTAATGGAGAGTCTTTACATAATAAATCCTTACGGATGAGCCACCACCGAAGAGTCTTTCGAACAGGATGTTTTCCGAAGAGGGCTCCCAAGGAAACTCCCAAAGGGTGCCGTACGAGCGGGGTCGCACCATCAACCATTATTTTTTCAGGTTCGAGGGCCAGCAAACCCTTGAAGTACCCTGTGTTTCAGGTTTTTCAGGTTTTCGTGAATCTATCTAGCTGAGCACGCATAGATCCGCAAGCTTTTTTTATCAGTGTTTGCTGGCAGTCTGCCATGAACACATGTCTTTTAAGGCGCTTTCTGATCCTCTGGCTTGACACGAGGCGCCACGAACAAGAGAGATCGAGATCATTGCTAAGGAGTCCTTGCCGGAGAGTCCTTAAGACAGAGCCTTTCTCAGGAGTTCGTAGCGAGGAATCTTTTGTAAGGAATCCTTTCGGAATCATCGTGAACAAATGAATCCTGATTGTAGAGCCCGTAATGAAGAATCCTTTACAAAAGAACTCCTGAATGAAGATTCATTACCGCAGAGTCCGTCAGAATGGATCCTTACCGAAGAACGCCCCTGAGGACTCCGTCCTATCGGAATCCTTTTGCAAGGAATCCTTCTTACTTGCGAGACACCTGGCTGCATGACAACGCCCCCCAACGGGTGCCGCGCGAGCGGGCTCGGATCATCAATGACAAACATGTTTGTTAGGTCCGAGGGCCAGCAACCGCTGTAAAAACCAGGCTTTCCAGGTTGTTCAGGTCTTCGTGAATCTATCCACTTGAGCGCGCGTAGATCCACAAACACCTGACAAACATGGAACCGCATTATTGTTGCAGTGCTTGCTGGCCCTCTACCCTTTGACACGAGGCGCCACGAGCAAGAGAGACCCGGATCCTTGTTAAGGAATCCTTTCTGGAAATTCCTGAATACAGAGATTTCCTAACTAAGGAGCTCCCAAGGAGGAATTCTTAGTGAGGAATCCTTCTAAGTCTAAGGACCGTGAAGAAGAAACCTTTACAATGACAAACCAACTCCTGAATGTGGAGTCATTGCCGAAGAGTCCTTCAGAACGGATCCTTACCGAACAACGGTCTAAAGGAATCCGTGCGAAGGATTCCTTTCCCAAGGAATTCTTACTACCTGAACGCCACCTGGCTGAACGATAACAGCTCCCAAGGGGTGCTACGCGAGCGGGCCCAGATCATACATCATGAGACATTTTTCCCAACCCTCCTGCGTTGGGTTCTCGTTTTGAATAGAGCACTGCTCGCAAGGCTCCTTCCTTCCTTCCCGCCCCTCTCTTCCCCCTTGCCTTTTGCCTCGCGCGTCGCTGCGTGCCAGCTGGGGGGCTGCGATCTGTGAAACTGTCGCCACTTTCGAGGGCTGCTGAGGGGCCCAGCACAGTGGGTACTCACCGCAGACTCAAATGGGATCTCGCCATCCCTGGGGGGCTGCGATCTGTGAAACGGTCGCCACTTTCGAGGCCTGCTGGGGGGCCCAGCACAGTGGATACTCACCGCAGACTCAAATGGGACCTCGCCATCCCTGGGGGGCTGCGATCTGTGAAACTGTCGCCACTTTCGAGGGCTGCTGGGGGCCCAGCACAGTGGGTACCACCGCAGACTCAAATTAGACCTCGCCATCCCTGGGGGGCTGCGATCTGTGAAACTGTCGCCACTTTCGAGGGCTGCTGGGGGCCCAGCACAGTGGGTACTCACCGCAGACTCAAATGGACCTCGCCATCCCTGGGGGGCTGCGATCTGTGAAACTGTCGCCACTTTCGAGGCTGCTGGGGGCCCAGCACAGTGGTACTCACCGCAGACTCAAATGGGACCTCGCCATCCCTGGGGGGCTGCGATCTGTGAAACTGTCGCCACTTTCGAGGCCTGCTGAGGGGCCCAGCACAGTGGGTACTCACCGCAGACTCAAATTGACCTCGCCATCCCTGGGGGGCTGCGATCTGTGAAACTGTCGCCACTTTCGAGGGCTGCTGGGGGGCCCAGCACAGTGGGTACTCACGCGGACTCAAATTGGACCTCGCCATCCCTGGGGGGCTGCGATCTGTGAAACTGTCGCCACTTTCGAGGCCTGCTGGGGGGCCCAGCACAGTGGGTACTCACGCGGACTCAAATTGGACCTCGCCATCCCTGGGGGGCTGCGATCTGTGAAACTGTCGCCACTTTCGAGGGCTGCTGGGGGGGCACAGTGGGAACTCACCGCAGACTCAAATGGGACCTCGCCATCCCTGGGGGGCTGCGATCTGTGAAACTGTCGCCACTTTCGAGGGCTGCTGAGGGGCCCAGCACAGTGGGTACCCACACGCAGATTCAAATTAGACCTCGCCATCCCTGGGGGGCTGCGATCTGTGAAACTGTCGCCACTTTCGAGGCCTGCTGGGGGGCCCAGCACAGTGACGCCACACGCAGATTCAAATTAGACCTCGCCATCCCTGGGGGGCTGCGATCTGTGCTGCGATCTGTGAGCACAGTCGCCACTTTCGCCATCCCTGGGGGGCTGCGATCTGTGCGTCGGGCCCAGCACAGTGACGCCTCCCAAGTAGCTTACACATCAAGTTGATTGTCCATACAAGTTTCGGCCAACTCCTCGTTTCCATTGATACTAATGGGTTGGGTACGTCAGGGTAATTTTATTATTCGGCGATAGCGGCTGTTACCGAGGGGGAGCGGGGGGGGGGAGAGGGGCCAGTAACGCCACGATTCGCGCGGGTGGCGTCTGGGAGTGCTTAGGGAAAAAGTGTTATGCTGTCAGGGCTTACAGACATATATGATAAGTAATGATATACAAGCGCGCTGCTATTACTACTACTTCTACTTGTAAGCAAAACCTTGGCACGCCCAGCCAGCGCAGAGCGAAACTCTGGCACGCCCAGCCACCGCAGGGCGAAATCCTGGCACGCCTTGGGCACACCTACCTATTTCAGTGGCTTGCGCCATTTCGCCGAGCCCAATGGGAGGAGAAGGAGGACGATGACAAAGAGGAAGAGAGGGAGGAATGTCGTTAGTAGTAGTAGTAGTAGTAGTAGTAGTAGTAGTAGTAGTAGTAGTAGTAGTAGTAGTAGTAGTAGTAGTAGTAGTAGTAGTCGTAGTAGTAGTAGTAGTAGTAGTAGTAGTAGTAGGAGGGAGGAGGAGGGAGGGAGAGGAGGAGAGTGGAGGTAGTAGTAGTAGTAGTAGTAGTAGTAGTAAGATACAGGCGGGGCCCCCCCCCGGGGGGGAGATGGGAGGGGGGGGGGGGGGGGGGCGAACAACACAACACAACACAACGCAACCCTATAGGGGGTTTGCGTGTGTCCTCCGCCTTCCCCCCCTCTTCTTCCTCCCTCTCCTCCTCATCATCTTCGTCCCCCTCCTCCTCCCCGTCCTCCTCGTCCTCCTTCTCCTCCGTCCTCCTCTGCCCCCTCCCCCCCCCATCCTCCTCGCCCTCGTCATCATCCTCCTCCCCTTCCTCCTTGCCCTCTTCCTCCTCATCCTCCTCCTTCTTCTTCGTCCTCCACCTCCTGGTCGTCTTCTTCCTCGTCCTCCTCCTCCCCCTCGTCGTCGTCGTCGTCCTCCTCCTCCCGATCCTCCTCGTCCCCCCCGCCATCCTCTTTATTCTTATCATGTGTG